GCCGTTTTTTTTTTTTTTTTTGGAGAGTACGAACAAAAACTACGAAACACGAAACAAAATGAAACGAAAAAGAGAGATTTCACTTATGAAGTGCCACTACTTATGACGGAAGAGGAAGCAAACCCAATAACTTAAAAGATAATAAATAAAGTCCTTTACTTCAGAGGCAGTAGAAATTTTGTATAAAAATAGAACTGCATTTTTTTTACAAATAAAATTTACAGGCCTGTGGCTTTCTGTAATTTAAGATAATTTTTTTTCTCTTTCAATAAACATCAAGTTTTCAGTTGCCCACCCCTCCACATAGAACCTAGAATGCTTTATTCTTTTTAACCATCGACAGATCAAAATCTTTTTTAATGCTCTACACAAATTCTGTTGGACAAAGACCACAATCATCTGACGCATAAAAATCGGACTAATTATTTTTTTCTTTAAAAAAAAAAAAAAAAACAAAACCAAACAAAAAAAAAAAAAAAAAAACCCAAAAAACAAACAGAACCAGAACCAGAAACAAAACAGGCTCAGGATAGAGAGAGCACGACTTTCCAAACCCAATAACTTAAAAGATAATAAATAAAGTCCTTTACTTCAGAGGCAGTAGAAATTTTGTATAAAAATAGAACTGCATTTTTTTACAAATAAAATTTACAGGCCTGTGGCTTTCGGTAATTTAAGTTTTTTTTTCTTCTTTCGATAAACATCAAGTTTTTCAGTTCCCCACCCCTCCACATAGAATCTAGAATGCTTTATTCTTTTTAACCATCGACAGATCAAAATCTTTTTTAATGCTCTACACAAATTCTGTTGGACAAAGACCACAATCATTTGACGCATAAAATTCGGACTTATTTTTTTCCCTAAATAACAAACAAACAAAAAAAACAAACAACAATAACAAAAAACCCTTACTGACAAAAAATTACTGAAAAAAGAAAAGAAAAAAAAAATCACTGAACATTTGACGGCAAGTATTTGTTGAGGAAGCTGTTTAGGCAGTTGTTGCCGTTGACTACAGAGAGGCCACAGCGGGTTTAACCCTTTCCTCTCTAGTGCCAGTGGGCCAAGGGTTCGAAGGAGCAGCAAAGCCCTGAACCGACACCAGAGGCCAAAGGGCAAAGGTTAATGTGCATATTGGTGCTTTAATCATATCGGAACCTTCTCTACTTGTCCTTACAAGCCTCAGGTTCACAAAGAGAAACAAATAATACTTTATACATCGTTTCTTTCTGCTGTTGTTATCATCATAGAATGCAAATAGCCATTGTATAAATATTTACTTAAAAAAAAACAATCTAATAGTTTACACATGACTTAAACGAAAAAAAAAAAAGAAAAACAAATTGACCAATAATAGCTGTTCATCCATCGCAAGTCATACAAAAAAATGGCGGAAATGGAAGCGATCATGTGGAAAAAAAAGAGACAAAATAATACTGTTATTAATTAAAAAAAGCTGAAAAGAAGGTTATGGGACAGTGGCTCCCT